TACACAGCTGCTGGGAGCCTTTTTTCTCCCCCGTTTTTCAATAGCCTGGTTCAAAGTGCATAGTAATACAAAATGTTGTGGTGCTAAAATTGGCATCGTTTTTGAAACCTTCATTGTAAGATTTGTGTTTGTTAAGTCTTTGCTTTTGCCCAAAACTTTTGCTGGCGTTATGCTTACATGCAGGATCACTTGAAGGATCACCTGTCACTTTTTCACATTGGTTCTTATGAAAGGAAGCACCTCAGCAGTAAATGCCAGAAACCACCCTAATGTCCTGAGCTCTATATGGCAATACCAGCATGTTCATGCATGTGAGGGGTGGTGGGGTGAAGACTTTTCAAATAGGAAGGTCCCTTCTTTAGTTCTTGGATACAAAGGGGCAAAAGGCGCAGGTGTAGAAGTGTTTTGTTGTTCCCACTTCTGTGCTAAAAGGAGCATATATTAGCTAGACAGTCTTTAGAGATTGCAGATCATTGTGATATTTTGAATTTTAATTATTTTTAATGAAAGGCAAAAACAGTTTTAAGAGTCATCGTAAGTTTGTAATATGTTTTAATCTGGTTTAAGCCTGGTCAGAATGCCTTAAAAGCCAAAGCTAGGACAGAGAAAGATTTAGGTTGTGATAAGAATCAGGAATTTTAGTTCCATAAAATTTTTTGAAAGTTGCATTCACAGTGTTTATAAGCATACATACGAAATTAAAAGGAAAAACAGTATGAACAGAGAATCTATATATTTAATGCCATGAACAGATATTACCCTCACTGGTGGTTAATTTAGAAGCTGAAATACTGACAATTGGAATTATATATTTTGGAATTATTTGCTACTTACTGCTTCTTACCTTGTCATGATTTTTTTTAATTATTTTTGAAAAAAAATTAAAATAACAAGAGATTCACAAATACTTTGGGAAGCTTCTCCTCGAAAAGCTGAAGTCTGCCAAGTAAGTGACTTAGTTCTTGTCATGCATTAGAACAATGGCCTGATTTAATATGACAAAGTAGACGCTGTTAATGAGGTATGTCCTCAGTTCACCCCATTTATCATTGTTAAGTATAGAAGTTATGCTGCACTCTAATTAAAGGTGAAGTCAGTAGCTTGACACTTTCCAGAAGATGACCCTGTTTCACTTTCTTGTGCTTTTGCCAAAGTATTCAGGATGAAATGTTCTGTGCTGAATAGTCACCTGAGAAGCATTTCTTTTTATTTATTTACTCTGAACTTCTCCACAGAGACTGTCCAGCCATTTCTGAGTGGGAGACTAATTTGCGATTGTTTTATGGAAAAGTTTGCAGTCTTTCTGCTCAAAGTGAAGAGCTTGAGATTTGGCCGCAACCTTTCTCTTATCTAAAGAATATTCTTTTTTTTTTTTTTCTATATGGAGGAGGGAAAAAGAAAGGAAGAACAACTGTAATCTACAGCTCAGTGGTTACATTCTCTGCAGAGTCAGAGGGTCTCTCAGAGGGAAGGAAACGACACCATCTTTAGGCAGGGAAGCCAGGAGCAAGCTAAAGCACAATATACTCCCTGGCCTGCTCCAGGCATTGCTCGGCTGTAGGATTCCCATAGTTTAATGGGGTGTGACCACATTGCTCTGACAGTAGGTAGTCTAAGCTGAGGTTGCTTACAAATCACACTGCAGGAGGAGCTGGGGCTGAAAACCGCACGTAGGAAAGACAAAAAAGTCTTTCCAAAGCCAGGACTGATTAAATTGGTGCCAGGAGGAACTCACACACGGAAAAACTGTGTTAAAAGAATGCCATAGGCAGCAGAGAAGCTCAGAGATGCCCAAGTTGCACGTTCAGAAGCATCAGTGTTAACAGGGCCTGTGCGTATCTGCACTGTATGAAGTCATTTATTATGTGCTCATGTGGGATCTCTGCCACGTAAGATGAACAAAGTTATGAAAGGTGAAGCGTGGTTATGCAAGGAAGGGATCTGTATAGAGAGCAAAGTTGTATCTTAAATGGGTGGAGTGTTGCAGAGCAGTATCAGAGAGTGTTAAAGTTAAGAAACTTGAATTCAGCCCTACAAGACTGAATCCTTCACATCACGGAGTTTTGGGTGGTTCTAAATGGTGCTATAAAATGTTGAGCACTCTGAAAAATTAAGTTCTCAAATTGCTAGTTTGCACCCAACTATTATTGACATCCTACATCGAACATGCATTGTAAGCCATGTGATGTTATTCAGCCAAACTTTTTGAACAATCGTCCAGCTTTTGTTATTCACCCAGAACTATTTAGTACCTTAGAAATGAAACTCCTTTTCCACTGACAGAACCTTATTACCTTATTTCACAAGTATGCTGCAGTGAAGTAATTTCTTGCAGGGTTACAACTGTGAGCAGTCTTGGGACATAAAATAGAAAACCATTCTTCCTGCAACCTTTAAGCATGCAAGTTGTCTCAGAGAAGGTTGTTATAGTGAGACGTAGGTCAACCAGTATGGTGTTTTCATGCTTGATGTGCTAATTTTTTACAAATATAGCTGTATAATTGGTTGATAATACATGCATATTCAAGTGCACAGATTCAAGTAAAGCACAAGAAACTGGCCGAAACTCCTGAACAGCTCTGCAGAGCAGTGTGTGTGCGGTCCTGATTTAAATGGGGAGCTGCGCCGCACATTTAGGGGTATGCCAACAGAAGCTAGGGGATGGGGCTAAAGCCCTCTCTAGTAGAAGTTTGCTTAAGCTAGCAGAACACTGGTGAAACACGCTACAAGGAGTTATTTAATGTCAGCAGAAAATGGTTCTAGTTATATTACTAGTAGGCATGTGTTGAGGTTCATTAACCTGTCAGCTCTGCTCGTAGTTCTCAGACATGAGGTGTGACTTGGTGCCATTCAGTGCATTAGCACGAATACAAGCATAGCGATAACATTCTATAGAACGGCAGCCAAGAATAATATCATCTTTGCGTTTCCTGAAGACGCTCGTTGTCAGTGTCTAGGACTTTGGCCCACGTATAATAAGTATTGCCAAAGGAAAGTGGTTTTACCTATCAGAAAAAAATAAGCCCGAATCTTGCATATAAAACACACCAGTAATTAGACATGCCTTCCCTATGAAAGTTTGATTCATTATGTTTTTGCAGCAATGTACTTGTGATACAACATTGCAGTAGCAATTAGCAACAGTAGTAACCAGGAAACCAGTATTAACTGTCATCAGGGTTAACCCAGGTTCCTCGAATAAATTTATAATAATTTATAATACTACAGTATTATTCAAACAGTAGCTGTATTTGAATGATGTTGGTAAATGTGTGTACATCAGTGGAAGAGAGGAAAAAAGAGAAATGCCTTCTCCATTCACCTCCTCTCCAGTGGGGATCCAGTAGCTGCAGAAGACAGCCTGGCTGTTCTCAGTCATCATTGGTATGACTAGAAGTGACAGATAAGTTCCTCTTGTCACTTTTCCTGTAGCTCCATCTTTAGGTCAGGACCCCAGCATCACTGGGAGTAAGGCTGCCAGATGATACCTTGGCCTCTCTCACAGGACAGAAACCCTGATTTCTGATCTCCTGCAGCCGTAACACAGACTTCTGGTCAGATAGCTGCTTTCCCAGTCTCAGATACAGCTCAACAGTGAGTGCTGCCTCCATCTCTTTCCTCTTGACTTCTCCCCCAAAGCAGATGAAAACAATGTAATAGCAAGTTTCTATCAATCAGGCAAATAGGCAAAATTTGCTGATTTTCTTCTTCTCCAGCCTGTATTTTAGGTATTATTATTGTTACTACTATTGTCATACGTACTATGGATATCAGAATATGATACCCTGCTATCAGTGTCCCTACTTGTGTCACCTTACAGCTAGTCTACAGCAGTTATACCAAAACATGAAGCCAATGGTACGTAGAAGGCTTTTAGTTGTTGCAGAATAATACAACCTGTCTCTTTGGCTGCTATTTGAGGGCATCAGGTTTATTTCTCTGCAGTGGCTTTGATGGGCTGGTCTTTGCCCTTATCATTAGAGTACTCTTGGTTTAGCCCCAGATGTCTTGATTACTCATCTCCTGGCCTACGCTGAAGACTGAATGTTACATTCAGGCTTGAGTTTCCTGCTGCTTTGGTTCCCATTCAGTTTTCTACCTCTTGGATAGTAAATTGGCTGTGAAATAATCCGGTGTGGTCTTGGAAATTGAAGTTAAACCTGATGTTTATAGAGGGAACAAAGTGTGTTGCCTGCAATCTATTGTTGTTGTCCAGAGACTAGAGAAGATGGGGATCACTGAACTACAGAAAAGGTTTCTGTTGCATTTACAAGAACTCACCTAGCACTGGACTGAACTCCCCTGGGCATTAATGATTTTTGCAAGTTCCATCATGTGCTGCTTTGTGTGCACATTGTTTTGTGTTCTGGAGTATAAATATGCAATACCATATACATTCAAAAATAAAACCCAGCAAAACTAAAACCCTAACCAAAACAATACTAAAAAGCACCCTCCCACAAAACAAAACTCTCTACATGGAAGATACTATTTGAAAACATTATTCAGATTGCTTGATCCTTCAACAAGGAGTACACTTTAAGAATTTACATACAGTTTGTTTAGTTGCTCCATAAATACTAGGGTTTTTGTCCATTTAGAAAGATACTGTAATACCTTTCTAGACAGTTGCAGAACATCTTTACAGAGTGAAGTATTAAGTCTTCCTTGCTGAAGATGATTTGGAAAAACAGTAGGAGCTAAATTGTTGACTAATATAAATGAGTACGGTTCACTTTAGTCTTCATCAGGTTTCAGTTAGCACAGTTTGATGACATGTCAGCTGATGGCATTAGTTCCTTGCTATATTGAATGGTGTAAACTGTCACAGCTTTTTTGTCTTCAAGAAGAGATACCACATTTCAAGTGCCCTGCTTTGGGCTGCTGTTCAAAATTTGAGAACGAATTATACAATTCATTTTACCTTGACTGTGAGCTCCAGCTGGTAAACTCCATTATGGATAGTCATATCATTTTATTTATTTGTTTCATTTCTATAGGGCACTTGCTTGGGCTTTCCCATGACGACTCCAAATTTTGTGAGGAGAACTTTGGCTCCATGGAAGATAAGCGCCTCATGTCCTCCATTCTGACTAGCATTGATGCTTCAAAACCCTGGTCCAAATGCACTTCGGCAACTATAACAGAATTTTTTGATGATGGTCATGGTATGTATTATCACACCTTGTGTCAGCTACATATTAGTTTTTACTGTGATCTATTTTTTTTAATAAGAAAATTTTATACTTGCTTGTTCATTCCTTGCTCATCTTCAGGACTATCTTGGAAGTGCTTGCAAAGCAAGGCAAAGGTCTAAAAGGCTGGCAGAGTCTCACCCTCCCTTTGCATGATTCAAATGCAAGGGAAAAGAAAGAGTTGATGGAGTGTGTGTTGGCAATAATTTGGTTTGGAACATGGAGAGGTTTTTTTAAAAGCATGAAATTAGTCTTGTCTTCCCAAATGCCACAGATATGAGCTCAGAGAGTACTTTAAGCAGAGGACAGAAGGAAATGGCTCTTTCCTCACAGAAATTAAAATGGGTAGTATGGTCCACTTAACATTAGACTACAGATATGAGCAGTGTGTATGTGTTCTTGTTATGATTAATGACAGTTATTATGTTTATTATGCCATATTTATTATGTTTATAAAGCTATTGTATTTATTAAGTTTATGTAGAGGGGCTATAAGCAAGAACTAAGACTCTTCTGTGCTATATATGATAAAAGATTACTTCTGCCCCAGGAGCTTATCTTCCAAGTCATGTACCTAATATTTGTTAAATATGTCATTTACCCTTTGGAGAATAAGTGCAAAACTTTCATTTTCCAAAAGTAGTAATAAAACAGCATAGTCTTCACTCTTAATGAATTTTAAAGTCTTCATTGTGCTCCCAAAGCAACTGCAGTTCTTAAACCATTCAAATTCCAAAATGCTGAGATAAAAATGACATAATTGAGTGAATGGATCAAGTTGTTATGGTAACTGAAATGCTTATGGATAAAAAGTATGGTATGTCTGCTGAATGTAAAGGTTTTTTTGCTTTTAAATATTTTGTCGGCTAATTTCAGTGCTCTCTGTAATATTTTCTCCTGTTTTCCGCTATTGGAGAATGACTTCATTTTTTCTCTCAATTTTATTAGATCCATTAATCTGTACTGTCCTGTCTGAGGTCCATATTGCTCTGGCACTGACCTAATATTACCAAGTTAGTTTCCACATACGAAGAAAGCTTTGCTTTTTTGAGTTTAGTTACTGAGGTATAGTACAGTTCACTGGGGTAAAATAAAGGGACCTCCCTTGCCATCCATGAAGGACCTCTTAGAGAGCACAAGGAACTCTGAACTATGTTGCCTCTTCTGTTCCTCTCCTGCTGCAGGCGAGTAGAAATGTTGTTCTCATTTTTTCCCTCTTTTGGTGACCTCACTTCTTCTCTTTACAATGCATCCAGCTAACTACTTTCTCCAGCAATAAAGAAAGCGAAGAGAACATTTCTTCCACCCGCCTCACTTTGAGCTTGTTTGCACCTGGGGGATTCTTGAAATTTGGACCCTTATCCATGAGCTGGACCCAGTCTCAATATGGAAGTAAAGAGGGGCTGTAACAATCAGTCCTACAGATCTAAGAATATAACTCTGCCAGTTTTCTTCAGTAAAAGTAGGTAGGAGTTTCAGACCCTTCAGAGCTTCATTATGGTCTCCTTGTTCAGCATGAGTGCTGTTTTCCTGTGCATGAAGTTTAGCAGTCCTCAACTGCTCACACTTTTCACAAAGTCATGTATTCTTTGCTGCATGTGAAGGGCTTAGGATCTGTCAGTCTGTTAACACATGGGTTAGGGTACATTGCCCTTTCTAATGCTCATGAGTAGTTACCACTCAGGCATGTAGTAAAGAGTTATTGATGTGATGAAATAATTCACAGAAAATTTGTACTTCTTGTCATAGTGGTCCACAGTCCTCTGGGAATTAATTTTATTACTGATGCTATTGGTGTGATTTCAAATACACCGTGTTTAGGGAATCTCTTTTCTTGATAGATCAGGCCTTCAGAGGCCTTTTCTATGTAACAGTCTTCCTTTTCTGTTGAAGTTTATCACTTTTCAGTTATTTCTTTTAAATCAAAGATTTGTCATAACATAAACACTATCTATGAAGTAAAAATGAAAGCCAATTATTTAAATTGCAGTTTCTTCAAATTATTGTACTGAAAGGACATACATTATTTTAGGAAGGGAACTTCTTCTGGTTTTAGTTTCTTCCAGCCAGTGAATAAATCAATAACTCCATAATTCCCATTTGTAATGTACAGTGAGTGCTGTACATTGGGTTGCTCATTTTTTTTTCTTAGCTGGGGCAGATGTACTGTTATGTAGTTGCATACACCCTTTTTGTTTTCAAGAAGGTGCTCCCCTGCAGTCTTTCCATAGAAAGAAGAAAATCCTCTCTCTCTCAAGAATTATCTCTCAAGTGCTGCTAGGCAGAGGAGAAAAACCATAACCATTCAGGTGTAAATTTGAGCAGTGCTGCAGGAAATGTAGATGAGGAAAGCAGAAGATAGCAGCTGGAATGAAAGAATAAAAATATTCATATTCCAGGCTTTCTTTTAGGATGTTTGTGACGAGATTTTGCAGAGTCACAGGACGCTTATGTGGGGAAACACTGAACAAGAGGAGACTCTTCCATTCTCTGATAGGCAGCATAAGCAGTTTGCACTAGACTTTTGTTCTGAACGGGCATGAGCTTATGAATTGTGCTTTGTGAAAAACAGGGCATGGCAGCATTGGTGTGGGGAAATAAATAAAGCACTTCATCTGCTGCTCCTTACAGCTAAGCGTAATGAAATGTGAATGAAGTCCAGAAGTTCGGATCTGTGAACAGTATTCTACTACAAAAGAACAGTCAATGTCTTATTAAAGCTTTAAGTAAGTTTCCCATATAGATTTAATGTTCACTCTGTACTGCTGTAACCACAAACATCACAGTCTTGAGTCTGTAATTCCTTAACATCACTTTATCAAGTACTGATGTTCCTATTTTCTAAATTTGGAAAGCGATGTTGGGGAGTGAACTCATCTTATAAAATGTGGGTATTTACTATGTAGGTAGCTACTCCTAAACTGAGTATTTAAGTTCCCATCATAGCACAGAGGAGTGTAATCAATGGTATCAATGGTTTGACTGACCTCATGAGTTGCATTAGTGGTGCTGAATTACACCATAAACTCGTTTTCGCCTGAGTAGTGAAACATCTGACAGCTGACTGAATTGCAGACACCAGCATTACATACAGATAAAGTCAGCTAAATAAATCCCAACATAAATGTCTTGCCCAAGGTCAACCAGGAGGTCTGGGGAGGATCAAGGTGCTGATTCCCTGTCTCCTGAGGCCCACTCTGAGAACTATAAACATCATCATCATCATCATATCACCATTTGTTTTACACTCATGAGATGACCCCAGACAGCAGTTTGACATTTAGGAAGAAAAGGCTCAGTAAGTGTCCAGAAAACCGTGCCATTTGTTTCCATCTGCTTTTAGCCAACCCTTTCCTAAGGTACTAATTGCCTTTATTGTCATGCCAACCACTAGGCTGTGGTATGATTGCTTGCCGTTTATTGTGTTTAGTCAGAGTGCTCGGTGCTCTGTGCAACCTGAAACAAGGACTATTTCTACTTTAATTAATTTATATCCTGGTTATCTGCTTCCTGCAGAGATCTTATTCTGCTTTTTTTCCCCAAGATATACTGCACATAACATTGAGGAGAGATAATGAGATGGCTCAATTAACACTGTCTTCAGACAACAATGGTACTTTATTCCAGGGCACACAAATGTCCTTTGGTACTCAGGACAAAAATGGGAATAGCAGTATATACATGCTCTATATGTTGCAGTGTAATGTAGTGTATTGAAGCCCTCTCTGCCCTCCCAGCGAGGGGAACCAGGGAGAACCATTGTCCAACTTCTTAACTCTGTCTTTTCCGACCATTACAAGTAGGAGGTTGGACCAGCTTGTGGTGAAAAACCCACACTTCATTGCAACCCAGCTCAACATCTATAAATGTAAAGATTTTATTTTTTTCCTGTGGGGAAGCCTTAGGGACCTTTCCTATCTTCAGTGTTGAATTTATTGTGTGAGACAGCTGTAACACCTGGATTTATAGGCATTGTACTTGTTTCCTCAGAGCAATATCAATTCAGGAGAACTTTGGATCTCATTCCTCTGTATTCTGAAGGGGAAAAAAAGCCATATTTGCCATGTAGGCTTGTGGAACCTGTTTGTTATTCACATGTGAAAGATAGTCAAACTGGTGTTAGCTAAAATGATTGACAAATCACGTGTATGCAAGGATATGACTTTTTTTTTTTTTCTTTTTTCTCATGTCAGTCATTGTAGAACTCAGTGATGTGCAGCAGTGTCTGTCATGGCAAAATTATGTGTTATTGCACAGTATTAATGTTTTAAAATACTGAATAACGGTTGCACTTGGGAGTTGGATAAACACTGCGGTGTATATATAATAGTAGTGTATACCACTAAATGTTGACATGCTAGTGCCTTCCCATCACTGCCCTAACCTACTAGCTTCCTCCCTCATCACAAGGTATATGAACTAGGACTTCTGCTATTCTTTGCTTTTACAGAGTGTATTTTTGACAGCAACTTTTGCGAATTATATCCTTTCCAGAAACCCCAGAAAAAAAATATCTGTGCTTCCTCACTCTTCACCATGACTTTAATATTTTACACCACAACAGGCTTTGAATGCTAGAGTACTTTTGATTATCTTTATCTTATGGCACTCAGCTCATTGGTTAACATTGGCACACCTTGTCTTCATTAAAAAAGTCAGCGTAATCCAGATTAAAGATAAGGCTAGGGTAAATCAGGGTCAGCAAAGGACAGATGGAACAAGTTTCACAAGACAGAGAGTTTTTTGGTAGTAAGTGGTGATGCAGAAAGAATTCTTGGCTGATTTCGCTAATTGGCCTTAAACTTTAGAGGAAGAAAAGAACAGTTGCAGTAACTGTGTGTTCTAGAGGGAAAACACAAGCCATTGCAAGATGAGGTATTTGGTTGGTTTGAATTCATTGCCATCGCTTGACATTCTATCCCATTTTTGTGTAAATAGTGAGGATTTTATAGATAGCCTTTTTTCACCCATGATCCAACTGAAGAACACTGGTGTAGGTTCCAAAGTGAGGTAAATTGTGGTAAGTTATTTTGGCCAAGGATAAATGAAGCTTGCCCAGACCACATATCCCTTTCATGAAATGTAAAAGAGGTTGCACTGAATAAATAGTTCTGCATGTCAACGAGTAAGTTTTTCGATAGTAAAAAAAAAGCTATCAGTAGATCTTCTAGGACCTAAATGTGAATTCTCATTTTTAGAGTGTGCCAGACAAATCTTGACCTCTGCAATATATCTCAAAACACGTATTCAATTCTTTATGCTATTTTTTTCTATTCTTTCTGTTATTTATGTATTTTTGTATAAAATGGATAGCCCTCTTCAAACTAATTCCAGAAGCAGCAGCAGCCAAGTATCATTCCTTACAAGGAAAGCCCAGTCCAGATTTATCACCAACATTAGTTTTGATATGCAGCTTATACATTTCCTTTGATCTGTTGGGGAGGTTTTTTGGGTTGTGGGGTTTTTTTTTCTTTTAAATGCCTCATTGGCTATAAGTCTGGTTTTTGTGATTTTTCTGGCATCCCTTTAGAGGCTTTGCCATTTCTGAGATTCTATCTCAAAATTCAAATGACAACTTTGCGTACTTTGCCATGAGTCTTGATCATTCCTTAAAACACAAATTGATAAATAGAGTGGAATGTGTTCAGAGTGAATTCAAATAAAGGAAACCAGGATGAAAGGTTAAAGGGACCTGAGTAAAACTCATTTACACCCTCAGACTGGAAACAGACAGCTCGACACCTGGTGTGCTGCTCGGCGAGAACACAGTTATAGTAGTATGACCTTGTTCGAAACCTGATGACACTTCAGAGAGCCTTTCTGGTCATGTCAGCATCCTTTGAATGAGATTCACTGTCATTATTGGTCTGCCTAACTTGACTGACAGATTTGCAGCACTGCAGAGAAAACGAGGAAATGAGTAGTAACAGATTGGTGTGCTCTTTTAGGTAACTGTTTACTGGACCAACCGAGAAAGCAGATCATGGGCCCTGAGGAGCTTCCAGGACAAACCTACGATGCCATTCGTCAGTGCAAACTGGCGTTTGGGCCCGAATACACAGTGTGTCCCGGTATGGATGTGTGCTCTCGCCTCTGGTGTGCAGTTGTGCGCCAAGGTCAGATGGTTTGTCTGACTAAGAAGCTTCCTGCTGTGGAGGGAACACCATGTGGAAAAGGGAGGATATGCCTCCAGGGAAAATGTGTTGACAAAACCAAGAAGAAATACTACTCAGTAAGTTGCCAGCTGTGACTCTAGGGAATTCTAGAAGGCGTGATCCTCAAAGGCGCTGATTTCTGTGGGAGAGAAAGGGACTTTATGGAAGTCAAATTGAAAGCTGCCTTATTTTTTAGCATGTGATTGGAGTGTTACTGGTGAGGGATATAGTAAAAATGCTGCTGAGCTTCAGGAAGCATGTTTTCTTCTTGAAATATGAAAGCCTTCATTCCTGAAAAACTGGGAGCATCCCTTCAGATGTGCCCATTCAGTAAGTCAGATCTCAGGACATATGGACAGATTGTCAAGGACCCATTCATAGCTTCCTGACTTCTTGGCAATGGACTGCAAGATAAATCTGTAAATTGATTTTATAGCCCTTATCCAAAAGGTCCCAGGACCCTAACTCTACTGAAGAGAAAGATCAGTGAAGTTCATCCAGAACGTAATGTCTGGAGCAGAAAAGTTCATACCTCCAGTGACAGTTTCTCCTCTGTCAGCTTTATACATCTGAAGAGTCCCTGCGCTGTTGAGAGCTGTCAATTGCACAGTTCAGATAGATACTTCTAAATTTACTGGGTAGACAGTAGCACCGCCCCTTCTCTTATAGCCACAGGAGAGGCACGGTCTTGTAGAGCTTTGTGGAGATATTTACAAACTATAAGAGTCATTCAAATAAAGCTACAGCCCTTGTAACACCCTTTTTCATAGAATTATATAGTTCTTCATGCAACACCGGTAAGTTGTTGCAATACTCTTCTTAGGGAGCCAAATTACCAGAGTTGCTGACATCTCTTGTCAGTAATTAAGAATCACAATAATTGCATTTAATTAATCATAGATTAGCCTTATGAATGTATCCTTGTGGTGGGTTGACCCTGGCTGGGGGC